CTAGGCTGGAGCATATAAATCTCTTCTTCAAGATTTCCATGAAGAAAAGCTGTTTTAACATCTAGCTGCTCTAGATGTAAGTTCAATGTAGCACACATTGCCAAAACTACTCGAACTGTTGTTAGTCGAACCATATGAGAAAAGATTTCATTGAAATCAATACCTTGTTTTTGAGCATATCCTTTGACCATCAGTCTTGCATGATAACGCTCAACTTGATCGTCACCATTTCGTTTGATTTTGAAGACCCATTTGTTACCAATTGGCTTCCTTCCTTGTGGTAGTGGCACAAGGTCCCATGTATTATTTTTATAAAGGGATTCAATTTCTTCTTGCATCACCATCATCCACAGTGAAGCATCTGAGTTGTTTATTACCTCCTGGTATGTTGATGACTCACCGTCCTCTGTACAATATGCAATATTTCCTTCTATAACATAATCTGAGTGCCAATTGGGACTTCTTCTCACACGATCTGCTTAAGTTGTTGGAGCTTCAGAACTCTCTGGCTCTTGGTCATCATGTGTTGGTTCTGCTTTAGAAGAATCTCCTTGTTCAACCTCCTTTTCCACATATATCTATGTAGTCTATGACTTTTTAGTGCTATCATCGTCTTCTTTTCTTTGTAGTTTATCTTCTACAAAGATAACATCTCTACTGATGATCACTTTGCGGGCAGTAGGATCCCACAAGCGATGCCTCTTTACACCATCAGCATACCCCAAGAATTTGCATTTCCTGGATTTTGGATCCAGCTTTGAAATTTCTTGGGAGTTGTACATCACGTACACAATAGTTCCAAATACATGGAGGTTTGAATAATCAGCTGGTTTATCAGTCCACATCTCCATTGGTGTCTTCAGCTCTATTACAGTTGATGGAGCTCGATTCACCAAATAACAGTCGGTATTGACTACTTCTACCCAAAATGATTTTTTCTAGGCCTGCATCCCTCAACATTGCTCTTGTTCTTTCTAACAAGGTTCTGTTCATCCGCTCTGTCACTCCATTTTGTTGAGGAGTGTTCGCCACTGTGAACTGTCTTTTGATGCCCTTTTTCCTGCAAAAGTCATCAAATTCTTCACTTGTGTATTCACATCCATTATCTGTTCTGAAACACTTGATCATCTTTCCAGAATCAAGTTCTACCCGCGCTTTGAAGTTTTTGAAAGTTGAAAACACATCTGACTTTTTCTTAATAGGATACACCCAACATCTCTTGGAGTAGTTATCAATAAATAAGACAAAGTATTTTGCTCCACCTAGGGATGTAACTGGTGCTTTCCATACGTCAGAATGAACCAATTCTAGAACACTTTTGCCTCTAGAATTTGACGTGTTGAATTTCAACCGGTGCTGCTTACTTGTTATGCAATGCTCACACAAAGTAAGTGATACATTTGTTAAGCCTGGAAGTAGCTTTTGCTCCACAAGGACTTCCATTCCTTGTTCTGACATGTGTCTAAGTTTCTGATGCCATAACATTGCAGAATCTGAACTACATGAGGCAACAGAGGCTTCTGCTTTTTAGCAAAGTCTCTCTCTTCTGCTACAAGTTTGTTGCTATCTTTTCACCTTTTATCACCACAAGCACTCCACGAAACACTTTCATGATTCCTTTTCGTGTTTCAATCTGACTTGCATTATTATCCAATAATCTGTAGGATAATAAATTTTTCTTCAGGCCTTTCACGTGCTGCACATCTCGAACAACTTTAATTGTTCCATCATACATCTTCAATTTGATGGTTCCCACGCCAACGATCTCTAAGGCATGATCATTGTAACTATACACAGATCCTCCTGAGACAGGTTCATAATGATGGAACCATTCTCTTTTTGAGGTCATGTGATATGTTGCTCATGAATCATTGAGTCATATATCTGCAAATCTCTTTCTGCCTTCCACGGTGGTTGACACTTCACAACATAGAGTATCTCCATTATCTAAAGTGTTTACGGTATTGCCTTATGGATTGTAGTTTTTATTTAGACTCCAACAATCCTTCTTCAAGTGACCCTTCTTTCCACAGTTGTAGCACTTTAAATTCTTCTTGCTTCTCGACTTTGATCTACCATGTTTGTGACTGCTGTTTTGGCCATGTTTTGTTGATCTCCCTCTCATCGTTGTCAACACTTCTACTTGTTGCAGATTTACTTGTCTGTCTTCCTTGTTCTTGCGATGCTTTTCTTCTTGTAGAACAGGAGCTGCAACGTCATCGAAGACTAGACTGGTGACATTACTGTTTGTCAAGTTGATGATGAGTTAATGATACGAATCCAGTAGACTTTGAAGTAGAAGTTCAGCACGTTCTTGTTCTCCTATTTTATAGCCTAAGGATGTAGGATGAGAAAATAAAGTGTTCAGTGTGTTTAAGTGCTCCGTCACTGAAGTAGATTCTGGCATACAAAGAGTGTATAATTTCCTCTTAAGGAAAATGTTATTGTGCAACGATGTGGCCTCGTACAGTTTGGTGAGATGATCTCATATCACCTTAGCTGTCTTCTTCTCCTCGATGCTTGACAATACTTCATCTGTTAATGCTAGATGAAAGTTTGCCATAGCATTCCCGTCAATTTCTATCCATTTGTTGTCATCTGTGAAATCTACCGGCCTTTCACTGATAACTGCTAGACAATCGTCTTTCCTCAGGATGACCTTCATCTTCAATTTCCACAATGAGAAATTTCTCCCATTGAACTTTTCAATATCAAATTTTGTTGCCATAGCTTCTAATACAGATAGCTCTCACTATTTCACTATCGTGAATAGTTCTCTGGAACCTTCAAAGAATGGGTAATACCTTCTTACTTTCTTATGTTGGAGGATTCATCTTTTGGTGGCAACCACAAAGACAATAAGTATATATTACACACTCTAATATGGCTCTTGATACCAATTTTTGCGAAATACGGCTATCAGATAGAGCAAAATCGCAACTGATAATTTGAGAAAATAAAAATGAAGATAAAGAAGACACAAATTTTACGTGGAAAACCCCTAAATAATATAGGGTAAAAACCACGGGCAATGGTAGAATAATTTCACTATGAGAAAATAAGAATTACAACTTCTCTCTATCTAACAAGGAAAAAACAATAACAATTATCTCTTGATAAAAAAGATAAAATAACTCTTAAGAAAACTCTATAGTATTGGGAGAAATCTAGAATGGTTTGAGATGATTTTGAAACTAAATGGGTTAGGGTATTTATAGTTGAAGCTTAAGGACTAATCTTGTAAATACTCTAAAGTACATAGACTAAATATGCAATTTTTCCATCCCATTTTTTTCAACATTATTGTTGCCAACTTTCATTGAATCATTGCTGCCAACTAATGCACTTTCGGTGCATTATTGAAACCAATTTTCAACACCACCCTCGCCATCTTGCCCCAAACCCCATGTTCTTCATTACCATCATGAGAAAGTCCCATATGACACAATCATAAGCTTTTGCAAAGTCTAATTTCAATACTACCCCCTATTTCACTAGAGCCCTTGGACATCGAATGTATAACTTTATTTGCTACTAAAATTCCGTAAAAAATTATCTACCTTTCACGAAAGTGCTTCGAGTTTCTCTAATCACCAAGTTTATCACGGACCTCAATCTTCGGGACAGCACTTTTGCAATAATTTTATAAATTGAACCCACTAAACTTATCGGTCTGAACTCTGAAATATCCATTGGGTTATTCGACTTCGGGATCAACGAAATGAAGGAAGAATTAATCTTTGCTGGCAACTTACCCTTTTAATGAAACACATTTAGCAACAACTGCAAGTTGTCTTTTACCAGTCCCCAACAATGTTTATAGAACTTTAAATTAAAATCGTCCGGTCCGGAGCCTTCAACTCATCACAACTCCATATCGCTTCTTTGATTTCCTCTAGAGAGAAGGGAGCCTCCAAATTACGTGCTTTCTTCTTAGGGAGCCTCTTGAACTCTAATATTGATTAGAGTTAGAACAGCCAGTGTAGTTTATTTTCTGAGCATGTTATTGGTTCTTGCAGGTTACAGACGATGATGCAATGCTAGATGAATTATTTACTATGTACAGTCACTTCACTGACAACTTGAAGTATTCAACTTAAACGACTGAAATGGTGCACAATTCAATCTTATCAAAATGATCTAATGTGCTGATCTTCCCCATTTTTGTAGTCTCCATAAAAAAACAAATTTTAAGTGTACATTCATACCAATATTGATTTTAAAATAAATTATGATAAAGTTAAAACCACCGATTTTGTTAAAATTGAAATGTTTGTCTTCTGTCCAAAAGTCGCTCAATCCTAAAGTGAAATAGAACTCCAAAGACACGTCTAAATATTGAATGCATAACATCAAATTTAATGCCAACGGTTTATTGCTTTCGAGATAGTTAATGAGACTGAAATGATGAAAGAAAGTAGTTGGGAATTCAATGCATGTTGTTGGTTGAGAATTTTTTAATAAATTATATATCTAATCTTAATTCTACTTAGAGGGAGAGTAAGGAAGAAGAGTGTTTTTAATAGGTACATAATCCATTAATAATCAATCGATCAACTTATAGTAAAGCTATATGATTTTAGTAGATATTAAATATATATACGAAAGTTATAAGGAATGAATAAAATACTTTTAGTAGTACAATTAGCTGGAAAATAGAAAATCATGTGCTCTTGAATGCAGGTAGTTGTGATTGGGAAATTATGTCAAGTTGATGGAAATTTAGTGAGAAAATTCTACGCCTATGGGGTATGATAAGTAATTCCATGATGGCTGTGAATTGTGATATTCCCACTTTGATCGAGATGGACTGAAGAGGCGGTTGAAGGCAGTCGTCCTTTAAAAAGTTCAAATCAGTATATATTTCAGGTTAAAATTTTAAAAGTTCGCTCTTAACATAAAATTTTATAATTAGACTCCATCTTCCCACGTTTAACCTTTTTTTTAATCTCTTGGTAATATATGTCCCAATAAATGTATTTATAAAATTCGTATTTGAGCATGATCTCTGCGATTTTCTTCATCATCCAACTACTTTATCAATTCAAATTCTCTCTTCCTACTTTTCTTGGTTTATTTCCTTTTATAAACATGAAGTGCAACCCTTGCTTCCAACTACTCTATGTTTTGTGGATACAATGTTTCGTAGTTTGTTCATCAGCTGTAACTGTCAGGAATCTCAGCACTGATCAGAATGCACTTGTCCAGTTTAAAGATGGAATTGTGGATCCTCATAATGTATTGGCCAACAACTGGACGACCTCTACTTCTGTTTGCAAGTGGGTTGGTGTTTCTTGTGGTGTCACCCATGAAAGAGTTGTAGCTCTGAATCTTACATGCATGAATCTTACGGGTACGATTCCTCCACACCTTGGGAATCTTTCATTTCTACATTCTCTTGACTTGGGCATCAATAATTTCCATGGTCATCTGCCAAAAGAATTGGGGCAGCTGAATCGTTTGCGTCTCCTTCGATTAAGCTTCAATGGTCTTAATGGAGAAATCCCATCGTGGATAGGGAACTTACATAGAGTTAAAATCTTGAAAATGAGAAGTAATAAGTTCACAGGCACAATCCCTCAGACACTCGTCAACATGTTCAATCTTGAGATCTTGAACTTGGGATTCAATCAACTATTTGGTCAGATTCCATCTTCTATCTTCAGAATGACCTCTTTAAAAGAGATTTGGGTTGATCATAATAGTCTTTCTGGAAGCTTGCCCGAAGATCTCTGTCACCATCTTCCCAAGCTTGAAATTCTTCTACTAAGTGTGAATAATTTATCCGGTTATATTCCATCAAGTGTAGGCAAATGCAGCAACCTTCAATGGTTGCATTTGTCTATTAATAAATTTAATGGGATCATTCCAAAAAGCATTGGAAATTTAACACAGCTCAAGCAATTATATTTAGGAGACAATAATTTAGAAGGTATGGATTTTTCGTGGATATCTTAATCTAATCAGCTTTGTATTTCCAAATTAGTATAGATCAAATGGATTTTTTGTTGTTGATATTTTCACTGTGTTTGCAGGTGAAATTCCCAAAGAACTTGGTAATCTTTTTAGTTTGGAGATATTGAACATTCAAATAATTAAAGGACTCACTGGTCAAATTCCACCTTCTATCTTCAACATTTCTTCTCTCATGATTATTAATCTTGCCAATAATAGTCTATCAGGTGGTTTACCCGATGATTTGTGTCACCGTCTTCCCGAGCTTGAAGAACTTTACCTGGATACGAATCAATTATCGGGTAATATTCCAACAAGTATAAATAAATGCTCTAATCTTCAAGTTTTGTCATTATATGATAATAAATTCAGAGGAAGCCTTCCAAGAAATATTTGGAACTCAACCATGCTCGAAGGGATATATCTACATGACAATAATTTAGAAGGTATGTTGCTTCCTTTCAATTTTTTTTAAGTCCAAAAACATTCAATTTAATTTGTTCCTCCCTTCCGGTCACACATATATATAGATTGTTGTGGAATTTGGTTAATTTCCACCAATAATAACAAATTCATCTTGAAAACTATTATCTAGGTGACTAGTGTGAAAACGATTGTACTAAAAATCACCCCAATGTAGATTCCCAGGAAAGAGGAGGGGTAGAGATGCACAGAAGCCGGATTTCAATCCGATCCGGATCGGATAAAAACCGATCCGGTTTTTTCCCCCAACCCAAAAACCGGATTTTAAAAAAACCGGTTCGGATCCTAACTGGTTTGGAGGGTCGGATGGTGTAACCGGTTTCGGTTTGCAAAAAACCGGTTTTTTAAAAAAAAACCGGATTTTTTCGGATAAAAATCCAGTTTTTTAAAAAAACCGGATTTTTTTTCGGATAAAAAACCGGTTTTTTATCCGGTTTAAAAAAAAACCGGTTTTTAATCCGGTAAAAATACCGGTCGTTCAATTTTTCCCAAACCGGTTATACTATCCGGTTTTTAAATATCCGATCCGGTTTAAAAAAACCGGTTTTTCCAAAATCCGGTTTCGGATATTTTTTACCCAAAATCGGATATTCGGATTTTTTGTGAACCTCTAAGGAGGGGTCACAATGGTCCCTCTTAAAATCCACTTTCCTTAGACAGAACTACCAAGACAAGTAATTTTAATAGGACAATAATTAACAACTATACCCGACAATAACTATTAAATAGATATAAAGAGAACACAAAAATTTAACGAGGTTAGGCCAAAATTTTGCCTACCTCCTCGAACACTACTAAAATAATATTTCACTAATAGAGGAAATATTACAAAGAGAGAAAGAGTACAAATAGCCTTTAATAGTGAAGAAGACTTATATTTGTGGGATGCTAAACTAAGAAGGAGGAGGGCTCTATTTATAACAAAAGAATTTCCCCTCCTCCTTATACAAAACCAATGTGGGATATTTGCCAAAAACCAACAAATCTCCACCTTGGCAAATTTCACACACGTCTCTCAAAAAATCCAATCTTCAGTAGTGTCTGCAAATTCATCTTTCAATTTGTAACAATATTGACCAAGTCTAAACAATGTTTAAACTTGACCGCAATTACCACTTTTGTCAACATATCAGCAGGATTCTCAGTGGTTCGAATCTTCTGGATTATGACTCCACCTTATTCTAGAATCTCTCGTACAAAGTGATATCGAACATCGATGTGCTTCGTCCTTGCATGGTAAACTTGGTTCTTTGCTAAATGAATAGCACTCTGACTTTCACAATGCACTTTGATGTGCTTTTGTTCCATTCCCAATTCACCAAACAACCCTTGAAGCCAAATTGCCTCATTCACAGCCTCTGTAACTGCCATATACTCTGCCTCTGTAGTAGACAAAGCCACTGTTGACTGTAAGGTGGACTTCCAACTGACCGGTGCTTTTGCAAATGTAAACACATAACCAGTAGTTGATCGACGCTTGTCCAAATCACCTGCATAGTCTGAATCACAATACCTAACTACACACTGACCATCTTGTTTGTCCTGCCGAAAGACCAAACCAACATCTACGGTGTTCAGAATATACCGCAGAATTCATTTCACAGCTTCCCAATGCTCCTTTCCAGGATCATGCATATACCTTCTCACAATCCCAACTGCCTGTGAAATATCGGGTCTCGTACACACCATTGCATACATTAAGCTACCAACAACACTTGCATACGGAACCTTTGACATGTATTCCCGTTCTGCATCATCTTTAGGTGACATGGATGCACCGAGCTTGAAATGAGGAGCAAGAGGTGTACTAACTGGGTTTGACTTTTCATTCATGCCAAAACGTTTTAGTACATTCCTCAGATATTCTTTCTGAGACAAACAAAGCCTCCCCAATTTCTTATCCCTTGATATCTCCATGCCTAGAATCTTCTTTGCTTCACCAAGATCCTTCATCTCAAACTCCCTGTTCAATTGAGTCTTTAGTTTCACAATTTCTGTCTGACTCCTGGAAGCTATCAACATATCATCAACACAAAGAAGAAGATATATATAGTATCCGTCTTGTAGCTTGCGTAAATACACACAATGATCATATTTGCTTCTTGTGTACTTCTGCCCTATCATAAACTTGTCAAATCGTTTATACCACTGCCTTGGAGATTGCTTCAATCCGTATAGCAATTTTTCTAATTTGCACATCATATCTTCTTTTTCAGCAACTTTGAATCCATCTGGCTGAGTCATGTAGATTTCCTCATCCAAGTCTCTATGTAAAAATGCAGTTTTTACATCCATCTGAACTAGTTCCAAATCCAACTGTGCTACCAAAGCCAACAAAATTCTGATGGAGGAATGTTTTACAACTGGAGAAAATACTTCATTATAATCAACTCCCTCCGTTTGAGCGTAGCCTTTAGTCACCAATCTTGCTTTGTAGCGGATGTTATTCTTGTCAGGAAATCCATCCTTCTTTGCATATACCCACTTGCACCCAATTGCTTTCTTTCTCTTCGGAAGACTAGCTAGTTTCCACGTCTGATTCTTTTGAAGGGATTGCATTTCTTCATTCATTGCGATCCTCCACTTTTTATGTTCTGAACTTTGGACTGCTTCATTAAAAGTGGCAGGAACGTCATCAATTGCAATTGGTGATGCAAAAGAGACCATATCAGCATAACGAGCAGGTTGTCTAATGGTCCTCTTTCCCTTTCTGAGTGCAATTGATTCATGTTGCTGTGGAGGTTCTTGGGTCTGAACCTCTTCTTCTACCATAGGAGAGTCAATATCAGTTTCTTTACTGGCTGGGTCAATTCTGCTTCCTTCAAACTCCACCTGTTTGGGAGTTCCATCTGTCTGCTCCAATTTTTCTGAAGTCACATTTCTCAACATGGTAGATTCATCAAAGGTAACATCCCTGCTGAAGATTATTTTCTTTGTTTTTGGACACCAAAGACAATAGCCTTTCACACCAGAGGTGATCCCCATAAAGATCGCCTTATTTGCTTTTGGATCCAGCTTTGACTCCCTAACATGGTAGTATGCAGTGGAACCAAACACATGTAAGGAATCATAATCTGTAGCAGGTACTCCAAACCATTTCTCTAATGGTGTTTTACCACCAATAGCAGTCGATGGTAAACGATTGACAAGGTGACAAGCATAGACCAAAGCCTCAGCCCAAAATTCTTTGCCTAACCCAACATTAGACAACATACACCGAACCTTCTCCACTAATGTTCGGTTCATACGCTCTGCCACCCCATTCTGTTGTGGTGTACTTCTGACAGTGAAGTGCCTGACAATACCTTCTTCTTCACAGACTTTCAGAAATTGATCATTTTTGTACTCTCCACCATTGTCTGTACGGAGACGTTTGATTTTTCTGTCTGTTTGAGTCTCCACCATCTTTTTCCATTTAAGGAAAAATCCTAGCACCTCATCCTTTGTCTTTATTGTATACACCCAAACTCTCCGGGAAAAATCATCAACAAATGTGACATAATAATGTGTTCCTCCCAATGAAGTTGTTTTGGAAAGCCCCCATACATATGAATGAACATAATCCAAAATACCTTTAGTATCATGGATTGTTGTTCCAAATTTCACCCTCGTCCTCTTCCCTTTGATGCAATGCTCACAAAAAGCTAATTTGCAAGCCCGAGTACCCTTCAATAATCCTTGATCTATCAACAATTTCAAGGATTTTTCACCAACATGCCCCAAGCGCATATGCCATAACCTGGTTGCTTCTGACTCCTGTTCATCAGTAAAAGCTGCCACTGCTGATGTCCCAACAATTGTACTACCCAGAAAGTAATACACATTGTTTCTTTTCCGGATTCCCTTCATTATCACCAGTGCACCAGAGATAATCCTCATAATCCCATCTTTTGCCCTCACTTCTAAACCTTTTGATTCTAAGGTTCCCACAGAGATGAGATTTCTCATTAAATCTGGTACATAATGGACACCTGTTAAGGTTCTAATTGATCCATCCTGATTCCTCAAGCGAATTGAACCAATCCTAAGTGTGTCAAGAGGTGAATTATTTGCTGTGTAGACAATTCCACCTTTTAGTTCTTTAAAATCAAAGAACCAATCTCTATTGGGGGTCATATGGTGGCTACAAGCTGAATCTAACAGCCATGAACTGGAACAGCTGGTTGATGGCGTAGCAGCGAATGCGAAATCTGAATCTGTATCATCATACTCGACCACATTTGATTCTGAGACAGCCTTTCTCCTTTCAGGTTTGCCTTTGTTCTTTAGCCTGTGACATTCTTTCTTCCAGTGCCATTTTTCTCGACAAAAGGCACATTCATCTTTGCTCAATCTGGACTTTGACTTCTATCTCCCTCTTCTTCCTTTATTCTGACTCTTCGAGCGGCCTCTAACAACAAGAGCTTCTACTTCGACACTTGTGTTTTCTTGTTTGTCTTTCTTTCTCAATTCATAACTATACAAGGCAACAATTACTTCACTGAGAGACACATCAACTTTCCCATGAAGTAGAGTAGTTTCAAGATACTCAAACTCATCAGGAAGTGATCCCATCAACATCAGAGCCAGATCTTCGTCTTCAAAAGTCACGTCCATGTTCATCAGATCAGTCACCAGTTGATTAAAACTAGTAATGTGATCATTCATAGTGGTACCTGGTATATAGTTGAAGCGGAACAATCTCTTTTTCATGTAGAGCTTGTTCTGACCGCTTTTCTTCAAAAATTTCTCCTCTAGTGCCTTCCACAATTTACTTGCAGAAGTTTCCTTAGAAAATGTATACTTCTGCTCTCTAGAAAGACACGATCGAATAATACCACATGTTAATCTATTGATCCTCTTCCATTCTTTCTCCTCAACATCATCTAGTTTCTCTCCTTCAATAGCAATGTCTAGACCCTGCTGAAATAGGGCATCTAGAACCTCACTTTGCCACATGCCGAAATGACCGGTGCCATAAAAA